CTTGAGCCCAGGAGGCAGAGGTTGCAGTGAACCAAGATTGCACCATTGCACTACAGCTTGGGTAACAGGAGTGAAACTTGTCTCAAAAAAAAAAAAAAGAAAAGAAAAGAAAAAAGGAAAAAGAAAGAAAAAAAGAAACAACACAAGCCAGAACATGGTATGGCATCTTTAAAGTATGCCACATCTTTAAAGAGGAAAGAAACAATATCTCCAAAGTAACCTAGACTTCTATACCTAGCACACGTAACTTCAAAAATGAAAGCAAAATAAAGAGTTTTCTACCTTAAGAAATTAGAAAAAGAAGAGCAAATTAAACCTAAAATCATAGAATAAAGGAAATAATAAAGATTAGAGTGGAAATCAGTGACATAGAAAGCAGAAAAACTTGGAGAAACTTAATGAAACCAAAAGCTGGTGATTTGAAAAGATCAATAACATTGATAAACCTCTAGCCAAACTGATTATGAAAAAAGAGAAGACCTGCAGATTACCAATATCAGGAATAAGGAATATATACTACCTATAGAATACTACAGGTAGTAAAAGGACAATAAAGGGATACTGTGACAATTTTATGTCAGTAAATTGGAAAACAGGTGAAATCAACAAATTCCTTGAAAGACACCAACTCTCAAAGCTCACTTAGGAAGAAATAGATATAGCCCCATATAAATGGAAGACATTAAATGTATGGTTTGGAACATTCCTACAAAGAAAAGTCCATGCCCAGATGGCTTCACTGGTGAATTCTACCAAACATTTAAGGAAGAAACAACTTGTTTAGAAAATTGAAAATGAGAAAATACTTCTCAGCTAAGTTTATGAGGCCAGCATTACCCTGATATTGGGAAGAAAGACAATTAACAAGAAAACTGCAGACCAATATCATTTATGAATATTTATGCAAAAAATATAAACTAACATGAACTTGGATTATTACCTTGTATACAAAAATCAACTCTAAATGGGTCATAGATTAAATGTAATGTCTAAAACTTAAAACTTCTAGAAGAAAACATAAGAAAAAAACCTTAAAGATCTTGGTTAAGACAAAGATTTCTCAGATACAACACCAAAAGCACAATCCATAAAAGAACAAATTGGCAAATTGGTCTTCATCAAAATCAAAACTTCTGCTCTTCAAAATACACTGTTAAGAAAATGAAAAGACGAGATACAGACTGGGAGAAAATATTGGCAAATAACCATCTGCTATAGTATTGGAATATATAAAGAACTCTCAAAACTTAATAATAAGAAAACAACTCAGTTTTTAGATTGAACAAAAGATTCGAACAGACTTTTCACTCAGAATATATACACAAGGCAAATAAGCACATGAAAATATGCTCAACATCATTACTCATTAGGGAAATACAAATCAAAACTATAAGGAGGTACCACCACACACCAAAAAGAATGGTTAAAATTAAAAAGGCTGGCCATATAAAGTGTTGGTGAGGATATGGGAGAACTGGAACTCTCATACACCACTGGTGGGACTGCAAAATGGTACAACCACTTGATCATTTCTTATAAAGTTAAACATATACCTACTGTACGGTCAAGTCATTCCATTCCTAGTTATTTACCCAAGAGAAAAGAAAGCATTATGTTCATACAGACTAGCAGCTTTATTTGTAATAGCCACAAACTGGAAGCAACCCAAATGTCCATTGGCAGGTAAATAGATTTGCAAACTGTGATATATCCATCCAATGGACTATGGCTTAACAACAGAAATAAATTATTGATACATGCATCAGCATGGATGAAACACAAATGACTGTGTTGAGTGAAAGAAGCCAGGCTTAAAAAAAAGAGAGAGTGCATACTGTATGAATCCATTTATGTAAAATCCTGGGGAATGCAAAGTGATGTATAGTGACGAAAAGAAGATCAGGGTCACCTGGGAATGGTTTGGGGGTTGGTGGAGGGGGAAAGGGGAGGGAGAGATTACAAAGAAGCTTGAGAAGACCTTTCTGGGGTGACAAATGTCCATTTTCTTATTTGAGGTGATGGCTTCATGGGGGTACACATGTTCACAATGCATCAATTTACCCCCTTTTAAAGATACACATTTATTGAATGTCAAACATACCTCAACAAAGCTATTTTTAAAAGAGATTAATGGCAAAGTCTATGGAAAAGACCAAACTTACTAGCTATGTGACCTTCCCCAAGTTGCTAAACCTCTAGTTTCCTAATGTATAAAGTAGGAATCACATTATTTTCCTTGTAGGGTTGTTATGGCAATTAAAAATAACACGTAAGATATGTTTTGCATTAAAAATACGCTCAATGGCCGGGTGCAGTGGCTGAACCCTGTAATCCCAGCACTTTGAGAGGCTGAGGCAGGCAGATCACTTGAGGTCAGCAGTTTGAGACCAGCCTGGCTAACAGGGTGAAACCCTGTTTCTACTAAAAATACAAAAATTGGCCAGGTGTCATGGTGCATACCTGTAATCCGAGCTACTCCCAGTGGAGAGGCTGAGGCAGGAGAATCACTTGAACCCGAAGGCAGAGGTTACAGTGAGCTGAGACTGCATTACTGTGCTCCAGCCTGGGCAACAGAGCAAGACTCTGCTTCAAAAAACAACAACAACAAAAATGCTCAGTATGTGATGTAAATTAAAAAATGCTCGCAAGAGTAATAAGAAAAATAATCATCACTTGACCCCAAAATGTCCTGCTTTTGTATATCTGGAGGGCTTTCTATGAAGGGTTTGAAGGCCAGAGCCCTGGTCAGCTATATAATTCCTCAAGTCACAGTTTCATGTACAGTGACTTGGAGTTCATTTCATGGTAAGATGTGACCCATTTCATCTTTTCTTCCCACTCCCTCCTCCTTGTTCTTGCTAGTTTGGCCAGAGGTAAAAGGGGTTTCCCTCAGTCTCTGCCATTGTGCAGCCCTGCTCCCAGCCACCCCACCTTCACAGGCTCATCCTCCCTGCTCATTTGGGACCTGGAACCAAGTAGACTTGTAGGGAAGAAAACTTTCCTGGGGGGATTAAGAGAATGCATGCCGAGTACACAGCCCGGCTCCGGGCACGTTGAACACACAGGTACATGTTAGCAATTGCAGTTCCACTAAATGTGCCTGAGGTCTTTCTGTTCCAGCTGCTGGGTCCTCACACACCTGGAGAGCTCTGCAGTGGTCATGGGGCTAGTGGAGGCCCAATCCTGTTATAGAAAAGGGTGGGTACAGGAAAGCAGACATCAGCCCTGTCCTCATGGGTTTGCATTTCCGAGAACAGCCTTAGCAAGGGCCCTAGGACAGCCTCAGAGATGGGAGGGATCAACAGGAGCTGAAGCTGTGAAAATGCCATGAAACAAGAAGCTGTCCCATCTGTGAGTGTGTGAGTGAGAGTGTGTGTGAGTGTGTGTATGTGTGTGTGAGTGTGTGTGTGTGTGCATGTGTGTTTGGGATTTGTCATCCCCATTCCCCTAGCACAGTGCCTGGCATGTAATCAGACCTCTCTTGTTTTGGTTGAACAGTGAGTGGATGAGAATAAATGGAGCTAGTGATGTAAAAGCAGGGGAGTAGGTGATCAGGAGCTGAGGCCCTTAGCGGAGGGTTAAGAGGGCAAGAAAGGAGCCCGCCTGGCTTGAATCAAAGCACAGCCTGGGGGCAGTTGGATGTGAGTAGAGGTGGGGGTAGGGACTGAATGGCAGAATGGAGCATTTGAACTAGGTTTGAACTCTAGGCTGGGGGTTGTCTGGACATCTCTGGATGGCAGGAAGGTCCCTAGAGAGATGCAAGGGGCAGCCCTGCCCATTCACAGGGTTCACTTTCAACTCTGTGGGCTTTCCAGCTGCTGTAAGCACATACTTGTTTCCTGGTTTCCTAGACAGGCCAAGCCCATTGGAGAATCTTGTCTTCTATTCCCTTCTCCCACCCACAGAGGCACCTGCTCTGAAGGGACATCAGAGACCTCTTTCTCCTGTAGCAGAGGTCCTTGCTCCCAGCCAGAGGAGGGCTGAGAAGCCCCGGATGGAACGCTGATGCCCCCACAAATGCACATGTGCGTGCATGCCACTCACTCAGTGTCACGGTCACTTATGAACATCAGGGAGCCAGTGCCAAAGCCAACCAGAACATCAGCAGGGACTCCCATCCCAGCTAGGGAGCAGGGAACGGCAGATGGGCAGGCCATGGTGACTACGGGTCATGCGCTCAGGGCATGAGCGAGCTGGCTCCCATCCCACCAGGTCAGTGCTGACCTGCAGCTGGGACGAACAGCTCAGGGTTCTTGGACACAGGGCTTTGGGGCGGACAGACCTGGTGCCTCTTGGTGCCTTCTGACCTTGCCCCTTTTGAGTCCTAAGAGCCCTCCCCTCTGGCACTTTAGATCATTCAGAATTTCTAGAACCAATAAGCAACTTGAGGAGGGTGACACCTGGCCACACCAGAAGGTTGTTTCCTATGTGACCACCACATTGAGGTCTGTGGGTGTTTGGTATACCCTGGTAGGCCCCTCAAGGGCAGCCTGGTTACTACCCCTGGTTCTGGTGGCTTTTCCTTCCCTTTAAGGTACATCCCTGAGAACCTAAGAACTGAGCTAAAGTGAAGTTTTGAGTAGAGGAGCTATATCTATTTCTGCCCAGCCATGGAGAAGTGGAGCTTTCTTGGGATCAGAGACAGATTGGAGCACAAGTCCTTTGGATAAAGGCTTCTTTATCTAGTGCTCTGAACTGGATAAGAAAGAGTCCAATCTCCTCTTCACCATCCAGCAGGGAGCTCCCCCATCTCTGCCTCACACCCTGGCTGCCCCCACCCAATTCAGAGCCTTGCTTCTCTTGCCTGGATGCCCAGGCAGTAGCCAGAAGGCCTGAGCATTGGACCTGGAGCTTGGAAAGCCCCCAACCCACCCTGAATGTGCATGCACCTCTCTGGCCGTGCCTGCGTGTGTGTGTGTGTGCGTGTGCGTTGACCTGCATGTGAATGCGTGGGACAGGAATCGCTGCTGGAGCATGTTGCCCTCTGTCTGCCCATCCAGGTTACTCCTCGCTGCAGGACGAGCTGCTGTCCCCTGCCTCCCTGGGCTGTGCGCTTTCCTCTCCGCTACGTGCAGACCAGTACTGGAACGAGGTGGCCGTCCTAGACGCCATCCCCTTGGCGGCCACGGAGCATGACACCATGCTGGAGATGTCTGACATGCAGGTGTGGTCCGCGGGCCTCACGCCTTCCCTGGTCACTGCTGAGGACTCCTCTCTGGAGTGCAGCAAGGCCGAGGACTCTGACGCCACAGGTCACGAGTGGAAGTTGGAGGGGGCACTCTCAGAGGAACCGCGGGGCCCCGAGTTGGGCTCTCTGGAACTTGTGGAGGACGACACAGTGGATTCAGATGCCACAAATGGCCTTATCGATTTGCTTGAACAGGAGGAAGGTCAGAGGTCAGAAGAGAAGCTGCCAGGTTCTAAGAGGCAGGATGACGCGACAGGTGCAGGGCAGGACTCAGAGAATGAAGTGTCTCTTGTTTCAGGCCATCAGAGGGGGCAAGCCGGAGTCACATACTCCCCCACCGTGAGTCAGGTGATGGAGAGGAGTCAGGACAGGTAAGAGCTTGACTGCGGGAGCAGGGTCCCTTTTTGTCTTCTGGGCTCCTGGGTAAGATTGTGCCTGGCAGTGAGGACAGAGGTGTTGATGCCAACCCTGACCCTGGGTTCTAATTGCACAGGAGCAAATACATTCAGTCTGGCAGACGCCATATATAGGAGTGTAGGTGCCATCTGCAAAAGCCAGTGCCTCCCCAAGACCCCACCAGGTATGCCCAGCAGGAGAGACCCCGAGGAGCACTGAGAGAGCACACATTGGGACATTAGGGCGACGGGAGAGCTCACTTACATACATTAGGGCACTTGGAGGTCTCACTTAGGGACATTTGCCTGCTGGGAGGGCTCACTTAAGGACATTAGGCTGCTGGGAGGGCTCACTTAGGGACATTAGGCTGCTGAGAGGGCTAACTTAAGGACATTAGGGCATCCGGAAGGCTCACTTACGGACATTAGGGTGCCAGGAGGGCTCACTTAGGGACATTAGGGCACCCGGAAGGCTCACTTATGGACATTAGGGCGCTAGGAGGGTTCACTTAGGGACATTAGGGCGCTGGGAGGGCTCACTTACGGAACATTAGGCTGCTGAGAGGGCTCACTTGGGGACAGTAGGGCTCGGAAAGAGCTCACTTAGGGATATTAGGGGCACTGAGAGGGCTCACTTGGGGACATTAGGGCACGGGGAGAGCTCACTTAGGGATATTAGGGTGCTGGGAGGGCACACTTAGGACATCGGGGCACTGGGAGAGCTCACTTAGGGACATTAGGGTGCTGGGAGAGCTCACGTAGAGACATTAGGGGGCTGGGAGTGCTCACTTAGGGACATGAGAGCACTGGGAGAACACACATAAGGACATTATGGCGTGGGGAGGGCTCACTTAGGGACATTAGGGCGTGGGGAGGGTTCACTTAGGGACATTATGGCGTGGGGAGGGCTCACTTAGGGACATTAGGGCGCCGGGAGGACTCACTTAGGGACATTATGGCGTGGGGAGGGCTCACTTAGGGACATTAGCGTGCCGGGAGGGCTCATTTTGGTATATTAGGGCACTGGGAGGGTTCACTTAGGGATATTAGGGTGACGGGAGGTCTCACTTAGGGACATTGGGGCACTGGGGGGCTCATTTCTGGACATTAGGGCACCAGGAGGGCTCACTCAGGGACATTAGGATGCCAGGAGGGCTCACTCAGGGACATTAGGGCACCGGGAGGGCTCACTTAGGACATCAGGGCACTGGGAGAGCTCACTTAGGGACATTAGGATGCTGGGAGAGCTCACATAGAGACATTAGGGGGCTGGGAGCACTCAGGGACATGAGGGCACTGGGAGAACTCACTTAGGGACATTAGAGGGTGGGGAGGGCTCATTCAGGGACATTAGGGCATGGGGAGGGCTCACTCAGGAATATTAGGGTGCCAGGAGGGCTCATTTAGGGACATTAGGGCACTGGGAGGGCTCACTCAGGGACATAAGGGTGCCGAGAGGGCTCACTTAGGGACATAGGGCATGGGGATAACTCACTTAGGGACATTAGGGCACCAGGAGGGCTCATTTAGGGACATTAGGGCACGGGGAGGGCTCACTTAGGGACATTAGGGTGCTGGGAGGGCTCACTTAGGGACATAGGGCATGGGGATAACTCACTTAGGGACATTAGGGCACTGGGTGGGCTCATTTAGGGGCATTAGGGCACGGAGAGGGCTCACTTAGGGACATTAGGGCACCGGGAGGACTCA